GTACTGTGAACTGCTCGTAGGGACCACTGTTGAAAATGAGCTTTTTTCCTTCGGCACTTAAACAATACATTTGATTCCAGTGTAACTGCCTTGTCCACATTAAATAAATAAATAAATACATGTATTTATTAGCACCCTCATTAGCTGTATCTGAGGGCTGCCTAGTCTTTTCATATGTAAAGCTGTAATAGACTTTATAAGAAAATATTCCAAGTTAGTCTAAGGAAGGAAGATTTTTACTTTGACCTATCTTCATCTCTTTTCGGGTGAATCTGTCCATGGACTGAAGAGAGGTAAAGGGACAACACAGACATCACTCCTGCTGTTTGTGTGTCAAATAAATTCTTCATCCTTTTTATCAGGTGCTGTATTTGTGTGGGTGCAGTACTAGTGCACTGGGGGCCTGGTAAGTCTGTTTCTCGCAGGAGGCTCAGGAAAAAAGGATGGGACCCACTGGATGAGAGTACAAGTGCAAACACACACAGGGTCTATTACTACACACATTACAACAATGACAACACACTGATGCTGAATTTCTATAGTTTTAAGATTTTGAGTTTACATAAACCCAGTCTGTTTGTGACTTCAGACGCAAGACATGTTCAAATCAATTATAACTTTGATTCATAATAATAATAATAATAGCCAATCCAGATTCATTACTAATTACAAAAAACATCGAACCTGATATCTCATTTACTTACAATTTGGTGTTTTGATTCTCAAGACAATGATCCAGTCAGAAAGCAGAATGAGCCTCACATGATTCTCAATACGTTTATTTTTATTAAGGAAAAGCCCCTTGAGGTGAGTCTCCTCGTTTTCGAGGGGGATCTTTATCATCCAAAGAATACAACAAGTCACAAAAATACAAACAAGCAAAACAAAACAATACAAAAACAAAACAACATATCTAATAAACAGAAACACAGAACGATAAGACAAAATACATAGACACAGACATTAAACATAAACATAGAGAAACGTTAATATAACAACCAAACAGATCCCTCACTAAAAACAGTCACATTGTGTTTTAAGATGAATGAATAAGTCTTTAAAGATATGGAATAATGATGTGGAGCACAGAGTTTGGCAAATTGTTCCAGTCTGATGGTGTTTTGACTCTGAACGCTTTTCTTCTGATGACTCTGGAGGTCCTGGGTATTACAAAGGAAGGATGGTCTAATTGTCTGAGAGAGTATTGCGATGAAAATGGAATGAAGTATTGTTGAAGGTAAGATGGACAGAAAAGAAAAATGCATTTAAAGATGAACTGAAACCAGTGAAAGTGCATTCTTACATCAGGAGGTAACAATCCAGAGTTTCATACAGAATACAATGGTGCGTGAGATATGGACATTGCAAAATGAATCTACACAAACTATTGAAGGAGACATACAGAGGACGTAGGTGAGAGTCAGATGTATTTTGATAGATAATATCAGCATAGTCAGTTCTGGGTAATACGAGTTGTATAATTATTTTTTCCTTACCGGTAGGTGAAACACTTAGCTGAACGGTATAGTAAATTAAATTAAATTACAATTCACTTTTTTGATAACAGAGTCGATATGTGTTTTAAATGAAAGTTCCTTATCCAGCCAGACACCCAAGTATTTATAGGAGTCCACACTTACTAATGGTGATCCATTAGTTGCTGTCGGTTGTGTTGCAAGTTTCAATGTTGAAATCCATTGTGTTTAAATCTAAAATGTCTCCCTCTGACTTGAATGGTCACTCCCTAAACCCCAGCGCCCGGAGCCATGAGTCAGTGCTAGTGCAGCCTGTGTGTGTGTTCTCTACATGCACGTTTAGGCTCTGACAACCCAGGTTCAGTTGTGTGTAGTACCTCTTTTAACTCTTTCCCCTTTGGACGCCTACTAGGAACAAGCCAACATATACTAGGGCTACCCATGAAGCATATTTACATAAAAGAAAACAAAACACAGAAATAGTATTTGATATCTCCTGAAACCTTAGACTCTGAACTATCTATTTATGGATGTTTAAATGTGATTCTGTTATGTGGTGCAACAATGGAGGGACCCAAAAAATGGACTGGAGACTGGTTCACAAAAATGAAAAAGTATAATTTATTTACTACAGGTAGAATGTGAGCTGAGCTTGGCTTGAAACACTGGAGAGCAGAGAACACAGGTAAGTAAAAGGTCGAGGCAAAAAGCAAAAAACTCAGAATGAGGAGCCAAGAGGTTCACCGTGTGTTGGTAGAAAACAATCTGGCAGAGTCTCGCAGGTGAGCAGGTCTCAAGTAGTTGGCTCTTGATTGCTTGCAGGTGAGGCGAATCAGAGGACCAGGAGACCGCGCGCGTGCGCGCACTGAACACTAGATTCACAAAAATTGAACACATATATTGGTCAAATTGTTGAGTAGTGTTTGTACTAGTATTAGTGTAGTATTTCAGACCGGTCTTGGGTTTCGAGACCATTTTTTTACGGTCTTGGTCTCGTCTCAGACTCGAGCGCATTTTGACTCGGTCTTGTCTCGGTCTTGAAGGTGCTTGGACTCAGTTTTGTCATGGACTCGAGGTCTGAAACTCGACGAGTGTGATTATCACTGAAGCCTTTGCGCTCGTTTGATATACATGTGCCAAAATAACTGTTAAATACAAATAACTTAAATGTCAGAATTTGAGAAGATGGTCTCAATTTGGTCTTGATGGGCCTTTGATATTGGTCTGGTCTCGGTCTCGACCTTTAAAAGTCTTGGTCTTGTCTCAGTCTCAGGACTCTGTGGTCTCGGACTAGTCTTGGTCTTAATTAGTGTGGTCTTGACTACAACACTAGTATTGAGACAGACTTCATGTCAGTAGCGCACAGGCTACATAAATGTGCAGCCCACTCTCCTGAGGCTCCAGCAGCCACCAGGGACGGACGGACCTGTGCTACTCAAAAACAACATCATCATTAAATAAATTATGTCATTAAATAAACCGAAAACACCAATCAAACAATCAAATAGAACTGGCAACTTAAATGAATACTGAAACATAACTCTTAAATCCTCCTCTCTTAACTGCAGTCCAGCCCCTCCAGATGTTCCACTCATCTCCTCTGCTCAGTCACCTCACAGCACCAACACAAGCTCTATCAAATGTGGTTTTATAACTCAAAAATACCTAGAAAAACAGATCTGACCTGTAACTTGTTCTGGTTTGGTCTCCATGAAGATAGAAAGGTTTAATGCCACATTGTGAAACATTCAAGCAATAGCATCTCTAAGGAGAAAAGCATTTGATGGACCTTCCACCAGAAACATTACACGAGGCAGTGTTCTGTGATGGCCACTGCAGACAGCACACAGTCTATTTTTGAGAGCTGCGTCTAGTTTGTGCTAAACAGAACTCTACACTAGAAACAAAACACCATATACACCATCGGTGGGCAAACTTTTCGGCTCACAGGCCACATAGGGTCCTAAAATTTGACTGAAGGGCCGGACAGAAGCCAGGACATGACGTATTAAGAGCTCTGATTCATTACATTCATGTTTATGTAGGACATAGGACACGAAAAACACACTGTAACACACAAGATTCAGAAAACGTGAAAGTGTACAGACCTTTTCCACAGCACATCACAGGTGAATGAGAACCATCAGGTAGTTGTTCTGAACTCTAACTGAACAATAGCTCAAGAACACAGTACATTTCATACAGCCACTCATGTACACACCTGCAAGTGCAGTAAAACCAGACTCTTACGTTCTAAGCACTGAGAAACACAACAAGACTCTACGTGTCTCCCATGTTTGATTTTTATAAACCTTAAATGGAAGCAGTGCAGGCTTATATCTTGAACACCACTACTTCACTCATGGTCCGAATAACTCCTGTCAGACCACTTTCCCATAAAGCATTGCGGCCAACATAATATGCCACAACTCAATGTATATATAGTGCGCCATCTACTGGGAAACGCCGAAAATGCAGAAAATGCAGGAAATGCAGGAAAAATAAAACATCTACAAGGTTTATTATTATAATTTATTCCAGTTCGGCGGGCCGGATTGAAAGGTTCCCGTGCCGTAGTTTGCCCACCCCTGATATACACTGTTAAGTCGTGGAAAAGGTTTTCGTGTTTAGTTCCACTTTACCAACTCAGTGGGTTTCAACTATCATGCACAGTTAAAAAAGAAAGCCTCTTAAACTGTGTGCACTCTTGGGGAAATGATGAGTTTGTAAATGCAGCATCACAACAGCTGGCATTAAAGTGCAAAAGCCACAGTATGTAGAGCACCTGTAACTTGTACTTTATATCGAAGGATTTCAGAATGAAAAGGACATTGTCAGAGCAATTAAGAATTCAAAATCACAATTCCTCTCTTTTGAATGGTGAAAAGTCCTTAAAACGTTGCCAATACCAAGAAACCAAAGCTGCTGAAACTGTAGTTAGAAGGGAATGCATGCATGCAGAGTGGCCACTAGGGGGCAGTGTGACTCTCCAGATGATGTCAATCAAGCTATAACAAGGAAATATTTGGACAGTTTTACTAGTTTATTTAATATATCATCTACTAAGCTAATGCATTAACATATTAAGTATAAATGAGCCCCTTTTATACAAAATCTGATGGTTAGGGCATCAAAGTAAATGCCTAATACAGCACATTGGTTGCATTCAGATTCCAGTGTTGAGCCTGATATTTTCAGTTATTGAATAAACCCAAGAACTCACTGTATGCATTTTGCTATTTAACAATATTCATTTTAGCTGCCCCCGTCTGTATTGAAAATGAGGATGGGAACAACTCAAAATCCACACTTGCGCTTTACTTGTCTGAACTAAACACTTATTGAGTTAGTGATAATTTCGATCATGTATTTGTGGGGTTTAAATTCCGATAAATCTCTTGTTCAGTAGGCAGAGGAACCGCTGCTCTACGTCGGAATCTCCCCCGCTTGAAAGAATCTCCGGTCAGCGCAAATTCTCACGACGCTTGTCTTTTTTCAGGCATCTCCTCCTCTGAAAGAATCTCCGGTTAGCACAAAGTCTCGCGAGGCTTGTCATATTTTGAGCTGAACTTGGAGGGAGAGTGCGCTGCGCCGCTGCTACATGCTAACAGGACATAAACTTATCAACAAGAGCAATTTTCACCTCGTCTCCGGCACTTTCTGAGGTAAGACTCACTACTGCAGCCGTGTTCTTTATCCAGACCACCATCCCGATGTGTTCCCGTGCGATCCGGAAGCATAAACGTACGGAAAGCATGCTTAAAACACAGCACTGATAGCACAAGTTGACAACATGCAGTTTAGTCTGAATTTTAACACTTGTGGAAATAAATTGATCATTGTTTAGGCTGACCAGACGTCCCCATTTACCCGGGACAGTCCCAGCTTTGAGCCCTGTGTCCCCTGTCCCAGAAGATTTATATAAAACCAGTGATTTGTCTCAGTTTTATAGAAGACATGTCACAGGTGTCCCTATTTTTGACTAATCTGATCTGCCAACAGTAAAGAGAGGCATATATTGTCGTTTGTTTGTTTAATGAAAATACAAAAAAAAAAAAAAAAAAAAAAAACAGCTTGAAAATGAGCATAAAGCAAAATAAATAAATAAGATACACCAACAGATCTTATAACTGACCACAAGTGAGTTGAGAATGGACAATGTTACGCTTTCTTTTTGCTTTTTTATTTATTCCAACCATCCCAATGCCCCAGGTGTGTCCCAGTTTTAAACTAGGACAAACAGCCAATTTTTTGACTAATCTGATCCCTGCCAACAGTAAAGAGGAGCATACATTGTCATTTGTTTTGCCAAAATACAGAAAACCGTGTTTATGAATGACCATAAAACAAAAAACTGCAGTGACAGAAGTTCCTCAGATTATGACTGACACGGGAATGCACAATTTTACAAGCTCTTTTCACAAATTTCATTTATACCAACCATCCAAACTCAGGTGTTTCCCAGTTTTATACAAGAAATGCCCCATGTGTCCCTATTTTTGACCAATTTGATGTAAACCATGATTACATCGACTCTAAACTAGGACTAAAACAAGACTATCCAAATTTTTGACTAATCTGATCCCTGCCAACATTAAATAGGAGCATACATTGTCATTTGTTTTGCCAAAATACTGAAAACCATGTTTGTGAATAACCATAAAACAAAACTGCAGCGACAGAAGTTCCTCAGATTATGACTAACACGAGAATGCACAATGTTACACGCTCTTTTCACAAATTTTATTTATACCAAACATCCCAACCCGGGTTTAGAATTTTGAAAATCTGGTCACACTATGATTGTGTAGTAAGTTCACTAAAGTAGGACTATTGTTTAGAACCTACATTGCTACAGTATTCATTTTGCATGGTGTTCAGTTGTTAGATTTTTATATAATTATTATTATTATACTCAACTCTACTACCATTATGTAACATTTCTGGTGGAGGGGTGTGCTCCCTGTTTGTCTCCATGGAGATGATGTTGAGCTGGAATCTTGCGCAGTGTGCTATCAAAGTTAAAATTTTTCTGCATTTATTCAGTTACGTATTGCTGAAATAGATTGACAAAACATACATTGTTACTGTGTGAGCGGGATTGCCTCTCCACAGATCTGACCTGATACTTGGCCCTACTGCTGCTTATCCCCATGAAAACAAGCAGGATGCAGACTAGGGCTGTGCAAAAATATTGATTTATCAGTATACTGTATCGTTTAATGTGATGATACAGGATCGAAATTGTGAGCTGCTGTATCGATATATTGCCAAGAGTATTTTGGGGTATATTTTCACTAATTATTTTGTTACAGCGCAAAAGTTTTGTTGTTTGTTCAGAGGAAGGAATCTTTTTTTATGCAACACATTTGACATTATCACTGTTTTGATGATTTAAAATGGGCATTTTTCAGATGAACTTTGCACAAGAAGTGGTTTAACAAACACTTTTAGTATCAGAGCCATGATTTAGCTTTTGTTTTTTATTGAACCGTATCGAATCGATTTGAAATATATCGTATCGAACTGAAAGTGCACTGTATTGAGATATGTATAGCATCATGGCCTAGGTATCGAGGTATATGTATCATATCGGCAACTTCTTAATGATACCCAGCCCTATTGCAGACCCTCAACCTAGACTTGATGCTGAAAACTTCACGTGCTTATTGTGTCTTGAATTTAATCATATAAGTGAAAGGAGTAGTTGGACAAGGCAAAAACTGTACTAAAGTTGAGTATTCTAATAGCATATTACTCTTTCTTCCTTTCTGCCCATTCAAACTTCTTTAATAGTATATTTTTAAAGCAGCCCTAAAACGAGAAACACAGAAATAATAATCATTACCTCTGCTTTGTCAATGGGCAAATTACTGGTCATCAAATCGGCATCTAGCGTTTTGTGATCTTGTTATTGGTCATTTAATGGAATATGCGTGCTCTGAAAGTATACACTGTACTTTTAACACACTTGTATAATAATGATTAAAGCCTAATTGTTTAACTTTTAGCCAAAAACTAAACCAAAATAAAAGCATGTTTGTTATTTGTAAATATGGTGGTGACTTTCCATCTCTAGAAAGTTACAGTATTGCTTTAAATAATTCTATCAGCCTATAATTTGGCATTTGTACTAAGTCTTATGTCTGTGATGTGATTGTTTCCTGTGATTTATTGGACAAGCTGCTTGACTTATGATCAGCCACTATTTCATTGTTTGATCCATACATATTACGCAATTTTCTGACCTATGTTGTTCTAATGTTGTTTCCTCATCACCAACACACCTGGAATTGTGTCTTGTTTCATTCACACATGTTTAACACACAAAACTGCACATTGAGGCTGAGGTCAAACTGAAAACACTCTGTTCCATCTTGTGATGTCATAATACAGATGTGATAATACAGGAAGTGCGCCATATGACTTCACTAGAATCATTTTGATGATTTCAGGCCTGGAATGACCAGTCTCTACTGATGTAAAGGTAAAAGGAGCTTTGGTAACACTTTATCATAACTACACCGTATTTAGCCTTAATAAAGCATGAACAAAAACTTAATTAATCATGATTCATGCTTAGTAACTACTTATTTACTACCTGAATTAGCACTTAACTTGCACTTACTTCGCCTGTGCTGTAAATAGTTACTCAATACTTCTTAATTACTCATGAACTAACCATTTGCATGTTTACAAATGCATATGTAAGTACACATTTGAGCATTTATTAATGATTAGTAAGCCATGAGAGAATGATTTACTAATAATGCAATGCAATGATCATTCAGGCAGCTGTTACCTGTTAGTTAAGTCTTTCTGAGAGCTTTTCTAAAGTGAAGACTAATTATGCTTTATTAAGCATTTGTTAAGGTTGGTCAAATTACAGAGAAACAATAATGCATCACTAGTAAATCATTCTCTCATGGCTTACTAATCATAAATAAATGCTCAAATATGTACTTAAATATACATTTACAAATACAAACACAAATAGTTAGTTCATGAGTAATTAAGTAAGAAATACGTATGAGTAACTTTTTATAACAGAGGTGAATTAAGTGCAAGTTAAGTGCTAATTCAGGTACTAATTAAGTAGTTACTAAGCGTGAATCATTATTAATTAAGTCTTTGTTCATGCTTTATTAAGGCAAAATAAGGTGTAGTTATTATAAAGTGTTACCGGAGCTTTTAACTTGAAAACTACTACTACATGACATCACAAGGTCGAATAGAGTATTTTGAACTTATTAAGTGCTACTCAGACATGTGTGAATGAAACAAAACACAACACCGGGGATGTTTTTGAGGCGGTAACAGCATTATAACAAAATAAACAGAGTTTAACTGAAAAAGTCTGAACAGCAAACTATTTATTTTCACATGTGTTTGTTCCTTGTAAATTGAGGCTGCATGAATGTGTTTGGTGCAATAACATGTGTGATCCCTGTGCAGAACCTAAGGATGGATTTGGAAGATGACACCACGGTCCTGACCACCCTCAAGTCCTTCAACTCCTTCATCAGCCAATCAGAGCCCCCCAGAACCGCCAAGCTGGCAGCTCCGCCCACTCTGCAGAGCCAGTACAAGCGCAGCCTGGAGGTATCACTCATGTCTGACTTTTTCACCAACATGGGAGGAAACTGAAAACCATCTGCTGGGATTAACTCTGATTGGATGAATCCACCTGTCACTCACACCCATAGAACTAGAACTACAGTATAAAGTCTCGAGAACAAATTTTAAAGCCAGATATTTTGGTAGAGAGTAGGGGTGTGCAAAAATATCGAAATATCGATATATCACATAGTTTAATATGATACAGTATCTATATCGGAGACTGCTGTATCGATATATCGTCAAGAGTAGTTTTGGGTATATTTTACTGCATTATTTTGTTACAACACTACAATTTTGTTGCTTGTTTAGTGAAAGGAAACTCATTTTTGCAACACATCTGACATTTTCACTGTTTTGATGATTAAAATGTTTGTGTTTCATATGAACTTTGCACAAGAAGTAGTTTAACAAAGACTTTTAGTATCACAGACATGATTTAGCCTTTTTTTTATTGAACTGTATCGAATCAATTCGAAATATATCGTATCGAACCGAAAGCTCACTGTATCAAGATATGTATCGTATCACGGTCTATGTATCGAGATATGTATTGTATCGGCAACTTCTTAATGATACCCAGCCCTAGTAGAGAGAAATACTGTGATAAATGAGAGAATATTGAAACTGCTCTACGCTTCTGACACGGTAACAATCAAGCAAGATAATCCCAGTAAACTATTTTTAAATCAGGCATGAAAATCTCTCACCCACCGGTGTGTGCTCTCGTGCACCAGCATGTATCACAGCGCAGGTTAAACTTCTTAAAACATCCTACCTGTGCATCTGCATCACGACAGCGTGCCCCTCGTCGCCTTTTCATGCTCCTGCTCCTCAGTGTATAGAACACATCGGCGCGGTCTCGCTAATTAGAAAGGCAAGACGAAACTCAAAGCAAAAATTGGCCCTGAAAAGCCATCTCTTTAAAAAAAAGCCTTTTTCTCTTGTTTGTCGTTGTTTGTATTCTCATGTAAAGCGTCTTTGAGTATCTTGAAAAGCGCTATACAAGTGTTATGTATTATGATTATTATTAATCAACATTTTTGCTACAGTGTCTGTACAGCAGGCGTACTGTGATATGTGGGCTGAAGTTTAGTTAATAAAATGCCAAATCCATCTGTGTTTGTCACGATGTGCGTTTGGTTTATCTGGTAAATACCACTGTAAAACCAGTAAGGAATTAGAAAAAAAAAAAAAAAAAAGGTTCAAAAATTCTCTCCAGTTTCTTCAATTTGAAGTAATTTTCTGTAAAGTACCAGTGGAAGTTCTCTTCAAGAGGGGGTTCTCAAACTGTGGGTGAGGGTTCAAAAAAAAGGGGCGCAGAGTGTTTCAGTGTTTGCTTCGCGTATTTTATCAGTGTTTCTACAGTCATGGAAATCCTGGAAAATGTTAGTATCTCTTTCACACAACTCCAGCATTCTGTTAAGTTCTCATGAGGCTTTTATGATTATTTCTGAACGTCTGAGCCTTTTGTTTTAAAGAGATGACAATAAATGCACTGACGGGATTTAGAATTTTAAAAACTATAATCCCAAACCATAAGGTGAGAGGAAAGAGCTTACATTTCATATTTAGACCTAAAAGTCTGAGAAATTCTGCAGATGTAGGTGCTGTAAAGTCATAGAAAATTCACTTTATGTGAAAAGTTTTAAAATTTTGTCGGTGAAAAAAAGTGGGAACTTTGTTTTATGCCTAAATTAACATTAATCAGTTAAAATAGAGTTAGATTTATAAAACATTAATATATATGTGCCAAAATAACTGTAAAATACAAATAAATGTAGGAAATGACAAAGATGGTCTCGATTTGGTCTCGATGGGCTGTGGTCTTGGTCTTGTCTCGGCCTTGACCGTCAGAGGTCTTGGTCTTGTCTCAGTCTCGGACACATCTTGGCCTTGATTTGTGGCTCTTGTCTACAACACTAGTGCATATACTGGTGAATCTCCATTAATTTCGATAGGGCCTGATCTTATTAACCTGAAACAGATGCCTCAGTGCACCCAGTTTGAAAACAAAAAACAAAAAAAACAAAACAAAAAAACAACAGCACAGGAGCAGGGGCCTAGAGTAGAGGAAATGATGTTATGGAATTATAGTAAAAATTGTAGCCGTTGTGATTTGTGTCGATTCATATTATGTTTTCAGTCTGATTGCGATTCATTTTACAGCCTTAATTTTGCAACCTCACCTTCTCCTTCAGTGTTTTTTTTTTCTTTATATTTACTTTTTGCATTTTTAGATTTATACGAAAGACATCCAATATATGATGCAGGACATATAGAAACCTTTGACTGTTTATTGAGAATTGTTTTCTTGTTGATCCGCAGTTGTTAGAAGCTGCGGAGAGGGTGCAGTCCAAGACCCGCTTCCTTCAGTTGGACCAGGAGAAGAAGCAGATGGAGCTGAGTCATAAGAAGGCCCGACTGGAGCTGGAGAAGGTGGCGTCTGACAGCGCACGAGACCTGGAGGTGCCCGCTGCCTAAAGCACTTCCTCAGTATTTCAGCACAGGGAGTTTGGCGGACACGATGTTGGCACAAACCGCTCTTGTTGTCTAATTGCTGTGGGACACAAATGGGTTTTGTTTTTAAACAGATTAGTGAGTTACAATTGAATTTTAAAGAGAGATGAACTGGCTAAAGAGGTTAAGATACACTTTATTGTCCCTGTAGAGAAATGTGTCCTCTGCATTTAACCCATCCTTCAGTGTCTGGGTTAAACCTGCATTTGACCCATGCTTTAATGTCTCTGGGTTAAACCTGTCAGGAGCAGTGGGGTCAACTCCACATCTTGAGCTAGACTTAAGGCCGCCACACACTACAGGATTTTTAAACAACAAAAAGTGCACACCACAGACACAAGGAGAATCTGATGAGACTTAAAATCTCCAATCACACACACTGCAGTGGGATCTGTCTGAGCACCACAGGCTACACAGTGGTTAACGTGCCCCATGTCAGCTGTTTCCTGTCTACAGTAAAATGACTCGCTTTGAGACTCTTAAGGCGGTGTCCACACGGCAACGTTTTTTGGTTGAAACTAGTGATGGGCTTGATAATTGGTCAATAATTTGTCATTAAGAATTTCGTCGATTACGCTCATTTCTAATCGACTAACCGAATATAGATTTTTGGGCGTAGATATGAAGCTGCGTCTGACAGCGCAAACACTGGACTTGTGGCCTCAGTCCCACGTTTGAGCTCTGGCATGTCCTTGGAGATCACTGTACCGCTCAATGAGCGTGTTTACATGCACATCTGTATCCCGGTTTCGTCATGGTGCATGTTTACGCAGTATCCTGGATACTGCAACATAAAGAGCTGCTCTAAACCTGCACATGTACGATCTTTGAAAACATCGCTGCACACACACAGAACAGACTCACCTTCGGCAGAACATCCCTGTCACAGAGAGAACACTCATATTCTACTGAGGTCGTGTTCTTTAGTCCGACAAAAGCTAAACCACATCAGCGCACAAGAGCGTTTTTTTTTTTTTCTTTGCTTAGTTTATACAAATGAGCCATGCTGTTTTAAGTTTCATTTCTACTTGCACAAAGCTGCTTTAAACACATTATAATGTCAAACATGCTGATGTGGCTCAAGAGTGGTGATGGTTTATATGTAGTAAAGTTGAGTTTATTTATGTAGCAGCATGTATGTAACAGTAATAATAATGATAATACTTATTATATAAAACCGTTAATGATTAATCGAAAATTGATTGTTAACTCTCCCGACGATAGATTAATAAAATTTCATTGAATACCCATCCCTAGTTGAAACAGTGAAGTTTTTAGTTGTTTTGGCGTTTTGGAAATCTGAGAACTCCGGCGTTGCGTTGTCATGTGGACAAGCAAACTGCAGCTTTTGGAAAATGATGATGTCGTGACTCCGTCATCGCCACATGATCAGAAGAGAACCCCACGCAGGAAGGACTTTATGCGCATGTGCTGTTTGTAGTGTTGTGTGTCCGATGGCTCTGGCTGTATCCTGTTGACACCTCCACATGTAGGTGTGGCATCTGTATTACATCGTTTTCGCTCAGTGCTCCGTTGTCGTGTGGACATGAGTATTTATTGATCGACACATGTGTGCATGCATTTTTTTCAACCCATAAAAAATTAAATCAAATCCAGGAGCCCTGTTGTGTGGATGTAGCCTAAGTGTTCAAAAGATCAGACTCTGCACTTCTAGTTTAGATACAAGTCAAAACTGTGTTATTATTATTTGTGAAATGTGGTGCAAAACTTCAGATACAGGATTTTTAATGCACAGAAGACCGGCGATAAAATCCACAGGACATAAAGTCACTGTCACTAATCTGCAGCTTCACCTCGATCTGTGCGCTGTGTGGATGTAAACAGACACACGTGAGGAACTACTCTGACCTTTTTACTTTTAAAGAATGACTCAAACTGAATTCACAGCTCTGTTTTTTGGACTGGATGTCATTAGGACGAATTCTATGGATGAGATGCAATTTAAATTTACAACTTTACAAGAGGTGAATAATCATTATTTTCGCTGTTTCCTGAGTTTGTATCTTTTGTCTCTGTGTCTGTCACTCTGCCTCCCCCTGACGCTCTGTTTTATTGGCCGTTACCGTAGCGTTGCTGATTACGATCTGACAGAGCAGCTCAGACACACACACACACACACACACACACACTTCTTAACTCCTGTTTGTATCTGTTCTGCAGCATGAGCAGGGACGCAACCAGGAGCTGTACGGGCGCTTAAAGAGACTGGAGGAGAGCGAGGCACAGGCGGTGCTCAGTCTGAAGGAGCAGCAGGAGACACAGCGCTCCCTCAGGAAGACTCTGGACAACCTGAACAAGAGTCTGGAGGAGAAGGAGGAAAGGCTCAGCTCAGCCAACCAGGTACCGTATTTTTCGGACTATAAGTCGCACCGGATTCTAAGTTGCACTTTTTGGGGAAATTTATTTTATAAAATCATGGACCAGAAACTGACATTTTTATCTTGAAAGGCAAGTTGTACTAATAACAATAGAACAGAGAACAACAGGCTGAATAGGTGTTAATATGTTAACGTAACATATTAACAATTATATCAGATAACTGGAGCAGAAACAACAGAACATAAGTTTACAAAACTCTCCATCTCACTCCAAATCACTAAATCCACTGAATCCATTGAATTCTTCATCCTCTGTGTCACTTCTGAGCAACTCCATGCAACTTCTGTTGTCACTGAAGTCCAGGCTTTGTCATCCAGTGACTTCCAGGAACCTTGCACGGTGCACGTTCCCAGTTGCTGTGAAGCTGTGTTTTCCATTCTCACTTTCCGCCAGTCCCTTACAAGCTTCTCGCTCACTCCAAAATTTCATTCTGCTGCTCGATTACCATGTTCTGCTGCAGATTTCACTTCTTGCAGCAGGACAGAGGCTTTTTCTGCAGGGGACATGCACAGAAAACTGTCACACAAGACTAGAGCCTCTTGCGGCTGTCAGTCTGAAAATGTTAATATATAAGTCGCAGGAAACACCCAAACCATGATAAAAAGTGCAACTTATAGTCTGACCAATAAGGTACACACTAGGATTGCAATGATATGGTTTTCCCACGATTCGATATGTATACGGGTCACGATATCATTTCAAGACATTTTAAGACACAAAAAAAAAATCATGCAATATTTTTCTGCTAATGAGTATAATTTAACATTATGATATTAATGAAATATTACATACATTACATCCAGTCCACTAGAGTACAACTACAGTACAACTACTGTACACTTAGTTTATGTGTGAAGAGTAGTTCAGTGTGAAGTGTAGTTCATTTGGTTCAGTGATTTACAGCTCAGAATTTTTATTCAGTGAACATAAGAACAGAGCTTTCTCAGGCTGTTTTATATTTTATAATATACCCCAGGGGTCAGCAACCTTTTTGAAAGTGAGAGCTACTTCATGGGCACTGAGTCATATGAAGGGCTACAGTTTGATATGCTCTTGTGAAATAACAAATGTGCTCAGTTTGCCTTTAGTTCTACATTATTAATAATGATTCATGATTAATGATAATCATCTATGTGAAGACACTGATCACGTTAATGATTTCTCACAATAATTATCAACAATGACAGCAAGGTGGGAAACCAATATCAATATTCATCACTTTAACTTTATTCATCTGTCCCCCCCAACAGACGGTACGTAGCTCCTCCCACACTGCCCTGCTACACTCTGTTACACACAGTGTCTCCCATCCTCTTTCTGGACAACTATGTTATAGAAATGTCTCAACAGACTGGTTTCTGACTAAAACTTATAAGATGGAGTCTGAGAAAAAGATGGCATATATCATGAGTCGCTTTGTGTGTGGTTATATGAGCACATTTGATTAAAGCCCACGTGTTTGTCCCCGTAAAGCAGGTCTGCACATGCAAGTATGTGTACAGATTTTATTCCCTACAATGCATTTCTTTGCGATATGTGACCACCATACTCAGCCCAAATCCAACCTGCCCCAGGAGCCAGGTCTGGTCTAGACTGTGCATATAGTAGCAACAGCCAGGGGCAGACTTTAAAGGAGCTAAATGTAATTTTTCTGGTAGAGGGCCAAAATATAGGCTCTTATAGGTCCTGAAGAATAGGCTACTATAATTTAATATTACTAATATTTAATATCTCAAACATGTGTATTGTGCATATCTCGATGTGTATGTGCAGAAGTGTGGCATACATGACTGACCATGTAGGGTTTGTGGTCTGTAATAGAAGCGTACATGGTCTTTCACCACAGTTACTCAGGTATATCTCCCTCCTGTTCCTCCTCTTTAGACCATCAGCTGTCTACGAGACGAGATCCGTGACCTCAAACTGAAGCTGCAGAACCAGGACTCCACCATCTCCTCCCTGGGCCTGGAGAAAGAGGAGCTCCAGGACAAACTTGTCCTGCAGCAGAGGTACTTTTTTTTTTTTCATTTTCACTTTATTGTTTTAATTCAGGCATCTCCAACCTTCCTCCAGTGAGCCGAAACCGAAAAGGCCAGAGAGAGAGCCTCAGATGCGGAACAGTTAGATGCCTTTAAATTAAAAATATACATACAAGAATATCAGAGCACGTTATTGATACTTTGCAACTGACGTCAACATTCCGTGGAGGTGTGAAACTAACTGTAGTCAGTGCTCTGTCTGTGGCTTTGTTAGACTTTCATCTGAGCATCATTTTAACACAATATGATCACAAAGAACAAATTTGTTTTTGAACAAGTCTCTCACATAATATTACAGTCAGTCAGCTCACCAGAAGTTTTTCACTTAGTCACGCAGCTTTTTTTTGAAAATCAAACTTGTATTGATCACAAGTTCTGAAAAGTTCTTCTGAAAATCCATTTTATATTACAAATATACAGAGTACAGTTACTCAAAAAGAGTATTCAGAATGTATATTTTGGGTGCATGTATTCAGTTACTTCCCAACACTGACAAAACATAAACATGAAAAAAGTTGCACAGTGAGGCTTGAAATATTAAGTTGTTTCATTGCTACAAATTGTCTACACTTGCAGGTGTTATTTCTACAGCCAGCCTCTGATCTAAAATCTCCTCTCGTCCTTGTCTTTCTCAGGAAGTACCAGGATGTGTCTGAGCAGTGTCAGAGTCTGCAGGCGGCTCAGTCCACCTGCTCCGAGCACGTGCTCAAGATCAAGGTGAGGAGCAGGAGCACAACCACACACACGCTCGAATTCAAACTCTAACTATGTCTGTTAGGGATGTAACAGTAACTAAAATATCATCAAAAGTCTCTCAATAATATCATGGGCCATCACAATATATCAGATAAGTCTCTTTGCTTAAATGAATAATTTTGGTCCAGTAATGGCTAAAAGGCAAAGAGAACTACATCGACCATGATCCTTTGCTCTGTTTCAGTCCAGATTTCATGAAGAAATAACTGTTCTTTTAAATGTTAGTTATTTGGATTATGACAGAACCAATTGCGTTTTAAAATGAAAAAGTATTATTCACAGTTTTCTTAGTCTCCAAAAAATACCGCAGTAAATATCGTACTGTGAGATGCAATATCGTGAAAATGTTGTACCGTGAGATTTGGATATCGTTACATCCCAATGTCTGTATGCCTATAACAGACAGAGAAAATGAAATTCATTTTGAAATATTTAGCTTCATTTATTGGAGTGGTGGTGCAATGGTGGTGCAGTCTGCCCACCAACCAAAGGAGAGCCAGTTCAGATCCCTGTAGTTTATGTCAAAATGACAGATTCACTGCAGACCACTTACTCTCTTAGGTACCGTATTTTTCGTACTATAAGTCGCACTTTTGTTCATGGTTTGGGTGTTTCCTGCGACTTATACTCCGGTGCAACTTGTATATTAAAATTTTCACACTGACACCACTGTCACTTCCCTTTCTACAACACATGTCTACTGCAGAAAAAGCCGCTGCTGTGCTGCAAGTAGAGAAATCTGAAGCCAAAAATGGTAATCGAGCAGCAGAAAGAAAGCTTGGACTGAGCGAGAAACTTGTGAGGGACTGGCAGAAAGAGGGAATGGAGAACACAGCTTCAGGGTAACCCGGCAGGTCTACAGTGCAACTTTCTTGGAAGTCACTGGATGGATGGACAAAGCCTGGACTTCAATGACAATCGAAACCATCCTGTCAGGATTCAGAAAGGCCAGAATAATTCTAACTGGAACTGATGCTGAGTCTGACGACAGCGACACAGAAGAGGGTTAGAGCTGCACTCTGTTTACCTCATGGATCTATGGTTTATCTCCGGAGGTCGTGCAGAAGTGACACAGAGGATGAAGAATTCAATGGATTTAGTGATTTGGAGTGAGATTTTTGGTAAACTTAGGTTCTGTTGTTTATGCTATAGTTATTATCTGAATAACTGTTAATATGTGACGGTAACATATTAACACCTATTTAGCCTGTTGTTGCCTGTTTAGTCTATTGTTATTACTGGAACTTGCATTCCATGATGAAATGTCAGTTCCTAGACTATTTTATAAAATATGTTTCTCCAAAAAGTGCTTATAGTCTGGTGCGACTTACATGTTCTTTTCTTCATTGCGCAATTTTTGGCTGGTGTGACTTATACTCCAGATTTATACATATTCCGAAAAATACGGAATATGTGAAAAATCTAAATAAAAAATATAAAAATGAAAAGGTGTTAGCAGTAGATTATTTACTGCTTGTTAGTTCTTGAAAAAAAGGGTGTACTTTGTTAAAAAAAGTGCAAGGTTTTCAATCAGAATGTGATGATGTCGTGCTCCCAGATGGGACACAAGAGATTTCCCTTTGGATTTCATGCTTCCAAAAAAAGTCATATTCACAAATGCATTTCTATTAGCAACTACACCAAATCCCTTGTTTTGCAAAAAAATGAAAATAAACCTGCATTTTTAATTTGTATTCATTTTAACTTCCCCTATCTGAATGAACTATTATTACCTTAGAGATGCTGGTTTGGTTCAAAACGTGAATGGAGCTATTGAAAGAAATCGTGTGTGAGAAATCGTCTACTGGATTCACTTCATTTTCACTGGATTTAGTCACCTCGCCAACAAAACAAATCCCCCTCTGAGTATTAAAATATGATATTTCGCTGAAGAAAATGCAGACTATAAACAATAATACCGGAGCTAATTTACCACTGACACAATAACCCTTAAGCAGGATTATCCCCAAAACTATTCTCAATGTGTATCATTAAAAAACATGGACTGCAATAGATAAACAGCAGAATAAAACATTTTAGGAGTTTGTTTCTATGATGAGTCATAGAAGTAATTTATTCAACCTTCTACAGCTCAAATCTAATCACAGAAGAGAAAAATAATAAAGCTCCCCACTACTAAAAGAAAAAGTACCACCGTAAATATTCACCCTTTACATATCATTCAGTACATGTTAGATCAGGCATGTCCAAACTATGGCCCGTGGACCAAATGCGGCCCTCAGACACATTTTAATTGGCCCTCAGGCTTCCAGGTGAATTGGTCCAAATTACCTTGCATCAGTTAAACATTTTACTGGGGCTTTTTACTTTTTACTTTTACTGGATGTTTTTTGAAGATTTACCTTGATATATTTAAGTGTGTTTTAAAGGTCTTAGCATGATTAAAGACTGATGACTCATTCTAACATGTTAAACATGCAAATATTTCAATAATTTACTGTGTTGAGCACCAGTCTACGGCCCTCGATCAGTCTTCTGCTTTGTCTGCGTTTAGATCTGTGGCTCTTGATGAAAAAAGTTTGGACACCCCTCTGTTAGATGGAGCATGATTTTAGAGATAGACCGATATTTTGAGCAGATATCTAAACATTTTAACGCATCAGCTTATCGGCCTTAAATCTCCGACAGAGTTTAGAGTTTGATATTTTGATTAGCCAACCAGCTGCCTCCATATGAATCAAGAGCATTTGAACAGAGGGTACTACTCTCTTATCAAGTTTGTGGTAAGAAACAGTCATGGATGAGTCTGTACTGAACTCAAATGGGATCATTTCAGTAGGGTTGTCCCGATGCAATCACGTGATTAGAAATCGGCGCCAATCACGTGACTGTGGACTTAAAGATAAATAATATACAGCACATAATGATTTTTCTGAGGCGTGGGATTTGCTCAGGGACATCCAGTTAGCGTGCCTATCTGCCCGAGCACCTGCTGTACTAGCGGCGCACAAACAGCACTGTTGCACAGTGGAGCTGGCTCTGTTGGCGCTGAGGGTCCGTCCAGAGAAGTGGAGTGTTTATTGAGTGGTGGGAGTGAGTGGTGGCGTGCGCTCTGCGGTGGGTTTGTGGATGTGGTGGTGCAGGGGAGTGGGGGCGGCCAGGGGAGAGAGGCTGTGGAGCTTCTGTCATCTCGTTTTTATTTGGTAAGATTTTGTATTATTTGGATTTCATAGACGAGCCTAAATGTTTCAAATGTAATGCACAGGCTTCCATATTATATCAAATATACAAAGTGTAGATTGTGCAGAGTCTCAGGTCTGATCTGATTCTGGTCTGGTTCCTGTTTTGTCCAGTTCATTAAGTTTACTAAGTTACACATTCCAAGATTTTCAACAATGATGATGAATGGTTAGAAGTTAATGGAAAAAAAACAAACAAAAAAACTAATTTAGCCCAAATACTACACATGAAATCAACACAATATGGTCCCCCCCATACATCCTGGGTCTTATTCTTTGCTCTTAGTTCATTTTATAATATTTTATAGAAGTATCGGATCGGGAGTCGGTATCAGCAGATACTTAAAATCAAAGGACTCGGACTCGAGGGCAAAAAAATGTGATCGGGACATCCCTAAATTTGGGTAAAATGACCAAAATCATCCCTACATATCAGCCCAAAAATATCAGCCCCGTCTCGGTCAATCTCTAACATTATAGTCATTATCATAACAGGGTTGTAGATCTGTGCATCCCAAACATGATGACCGTGTTACCTGCTCTTTTAAATAACCACTAGAGGGCGCTAACAGTCAGTTTGAGAAGTGACCAAAACTAAGAAAACAAAGTAACAAATAAACAAAAATATGGAGTCGCCCATGGCAGTTTTTAGATTGCATCTGTTGGAAAGGAGCTAAGAAAATGACCTGGGGAAGGCATTTGTTTTGCAGCTGGTTCTAGTTCTAAAAAGCTTTAACTGCTGCTGCTTTAATGATCTGTGTTCACTACTGCCCCCAGTGGTCAGCTCATGTTACATGTCACCGTTGCTAAGATTCCACATGTTCTGAAGAGACTGACCACATTACAGACAGAACAAAACAGAGGATAGACAGAACCCTCTATGTATCCATGTGTGTTTAGAACCTACGGAATAAAAACGAGCCTTTAGAGGTGATTTTTGATGTCGAATGTGTGTGTGGTTGGTGTGTTGTTCAGGAGTTGGAGCGCCGTCTCGTCCTCCAGGAGCAGGACATGTCCATAGTGAAGATGGTGAAGTCTGAGGCAGCCAAAGTCCCCGAGCTGGAGAAGGAAGTGAAGAGGCTGAGAGAGGATAACACCTTCCTACGGTCAGAATACTACCACATACATGCCATTATGGGTCATTCAAAATTTTAATGAACAAAATATATAACAGAATAACAGAATGTACTTTTATTTGTCAATAATCAGCCACAGAAGTCTCTTATTTAACCTTTCGCAGCTCAGAATTATAGTATTACAACAAAAATACCCCAAATCTTTTACAAAGAAATTGTACAGATGATAAATACTCTGCCCCAAAACGTATTGTTCCAGCTTTTCCTATCCTGAATGATAAGTGGGTATAGTCATTATCCTGACAGGTCTGTGTGTCACTGTTTGTGCAGGGAGAACCGGGAGAACTGCAGCCTGCTGAAGGAGGAGGCCGAGGGGCTGAGGAAGAAGCTGGAGAGGGCAGAGAAGACCAGAGAAGAGCTGCTCTCTGTGGAGCTGGACAAAGAGGTGGGCTATGGACCATTACCACTGCTCAGTAATGCACTTTCACTTTTATTATTTATGTAGCATTAGTAAGGATTAGTGGTAATAAGCAATTTACTGTGGGGGGAGTGGGGTGATCATGACGTGTCAGTGTGGTGTACGGCTGGGCAAAAAAATCTATTCAACTGATGAATCAAATTTTAAGTTCAACCCATTTGTTTAGGGAAATCAGATAGATTTTTTTTCACTTAGTTGCAGTTTAAATTCATCCGACTTCATGTTTAATGCAGCCCCAACACTGTTACTGTTTACTTGTTTTATCTCATTCAGAAAATGGAGATAGATTTTCCCCAAATATGATCCCGACCTAATGTAATGTTGTAGTATCTTCAGCTGGGCTGCTTTTAGCTTCTATACTGTGTTTAAGACTTTAATATTTATAGTCCACAACAAAAAATATTATTCTGACCCATCGTAGCCTACCATTTGCTGCACTATAACTTTATTGTTATTCAATATATTTCTTTTAACAATTTTCCACATACTTCAGAACATTTTTAGTGAAGAGGGGAGAAAATAATCAATTATTGAAAATATTTTTTTTGTAAAAATGTTGATTTAGTACATTGTAATAAACATTTCTGGACTTTAAAGAATCTTTAAGCAAGGAAATGAGATAAATTTGCAGTTAAAATGTTTTTAATAAAGAAGAAATTCAATATGTCAACTGGGCAAACGTTTATCCAGTTGACAAATTAAATTTTTCCTTTGGCATGGATTCTACCTGGACGGCTGCGGGTTTCTACACACATTATGCACAATATTAATATTAATATATGAATATTCTTTGAACATCAGAAATCTGACAACAGTCACATTGTGAGTGTGCAGCCGGTGATTGGGAAGCCTGTGGTGGAGCACACAGAGCTTTACACACAGCAGCCTCCTCAGACCAGAGAGTAATCTGAAGTTAATGTAATGGGATGGACAAAACATTAAATCCACAAAATCTGTTATTTTCCCAAGATAGATGCAAAAATGTGACAAAACAGAACAAAATATTGTCTAAATCACACTGTGACGTCAATCAATTCATTTGATTTGATTCCTATTTAAGCTCTAGTTCTGTCTAATGGTCAATGATGCTCTTAGAGGATTGGCTGTAGACCTTGATAAAAAATCTGTGTCAGTAAAAGCATGTGCAGAGTTCAGACTTTCAGACTATTTTTGTGTTTAATAGCAATTATCAAACGTCTTGTTTATGTTCAAGAATTAATACTGAAAGCTGTTTTATACATTTTAATAAGACAAAATAAAAGTCACTTCAAACATTGTGATGGATAAATTTGAGGGAAAAAATGCCATATGCTGTAGGCCTAGCTCAAAACATTTCACATCATCATCTTAAAACATAAAGCTTTTGTCACTTGTAGACTGACTCACAGTGAGAAGAGGAACCAGAACTGCTCAAGAGTGTTGTTACACTGGACAATATATTATTTAAGTAGCAGTAGTTTGAAACCTACTCGGATCATACAATACAATACAAGTACTGTACAATTTCATTTCATTTTGAGTAATGAGTAAGTCTTCAAATTCTGGATCATTATCACAACCCTTTGACAGTAGAGTGTGTGTTTTCTTTACAGAAACTGTCTGCGAAGCTCCAGGCCTGGGAGAACCTGGGACAATCCACTGGACTCAACATCAAGTGAGACAGTGCACTTCTTGACTTCTTGCAGTGCATTTCTTATTTCTGTTCTATTTATTTTCTATCTTCAAGGTTTGCGCATGAAATTCCAGACACTGTTCCTAACCTTAAAGGGCCATATTAGCCTCTTATCTGTTCTACTGTAGTTTCCTCATCACAAACAGACCTGGAGTTTTGTTTCATGTTGTTCGTGTTTTGTTTCATTCACACATGTTGCTGTTCCACCTTGTGATGTCATGAGGTTGTACAGGAAATGTTCAAATGTGTTTTTAAACCCCTACACCTTCACTAGAATCATTTGGATGATTTCAGACCTGGACATTGCCAATCTTTACTGAACTAAAGGTCAAAGGTCTAAAGGTCGCTACGTAACATCACAAGGCGGAGCAGAGCATTTTAATTATTAGTCTGTCTACATCTAAAATATTAAGGGTTACAGAAATGTGTGAATGAAACAAAACACGACTTTGAAGTATGTTTTTGAGGAGGTAACAGCGTTAAAACATGACTTGGAGCTCAGAAGAGTCTGTTTTGCATAAATAGGACCTTTAATCAAACCCTAACTGTAACCATTTCCTAATCCTAACCTTAACCGTAACTTTATTCATTTCCCTGACAATTAGAGGTTGGGAAAAATAGATAACATCAGAATTAATGTTTTGGAGAAATGCAAATTTAAGTCATGGTTATTTTGGCAGATTTCTGGTAGTATTACACGATAAATGAACCTTTGTGGCACATTTGAAGCGATGAAGTCAACAGATGAACTGCAAAATTATAGGCTGTATAGTTCTTGTCATATAGATAATAGAATAATAAATAGTATAGCCACCCATAGTTAGAGTCATAGCTGTAATGTGATCTTGCATCATTAAAAGGCTCACAATTTACAATATCTTCCACTTAAGGCTGCCACACACTACAGGAGAATTTATCAGATTTTGGCTGTGATTTGCTTCTCCTTGAGTTCGGGGAGGGGAGACTCAGAGCTCCTCTGTCAGATCAGTAATCACTACTCTCCAAACATCAGCAATGCAACAGTAACAGGCAGTAAAACAGAGCGTCAGGGGCAAACTGAGTGATGGACACAGACGCACAAAATGCAAACTCAGTAAATAGCTAAAATAATGATTCCTCACCTCTCGTAAAGTGGTAAATTTAAAGTGCAGCGTCTCATCCACATTATCCGTAGAAATTGTCCTCTGCAAATAATGACCCCAGTCCACAAAACAGAGCTGTGAATCCAGTTTGAAGCGTCTTTTAAAAGTAAAAAGTGTCTCTGTTTACATCCACACAGCGCACGGATTGAAGTGAAGCTGCAGATTAGTGACAGTGACTCTACTTCCTGTGGACTTTATCTCCAGCCTCCAGATTTCACAAAAAATAATAACACAGTTTTGACTTGTATCTAAACTGGAAGTGCAGTGCTCTGATACTTTGAACACTTAGTCTCAAATCAGGTGGTTTTACTATAGACAGGAAACAGTTGACACGATTGCTGTCACAACAAAATTTTGTGACTGAAGATTTAAAATCTCGTAAGATTCTCCTGGTGTCTGTGTTGTGCGCTTTATGTTGCATGTTCACAAATTGTAAAAAAAAATTAAAAAAAATTCCAGACCAGAAAATCCTGTAGTGTTTGCCGACCACATAAAAATATAAAAATGGTAATAAAATATTCTAAATAAGTAGCAATACAAAATAGCAAGAGACAAGTGTCAAATAAGACATAAATATACTGTATTTATGTTGCTCTTTTTTTTTACTTACTTGTACATACATTTAGATAATTAAGTTATTTACATGAGGTCGTAAGAAAAAGCAAGGGAAGTGCAAAGATGATCTGACGATCGACAGAAACATAAGCTTATCTGTTACATAAGGGTGAGTTGTTGTACTGTTGTAGGGAGTATTATCTGTTACATAAGGGTGAGCTGTTGTACAGTTGTAGGGAGTATTATCTGTTACATAAGGGTGAGTTGTTGTACAGTTGTAGGGAGTATTATCTGTTACATAAGGGTGAGTTGTTGTACAGTTGTAGGGAGTATTATCTGTTCCATAAGGGTGAGTTGTACAGTTGTAGGGAGTATTATATGTCCCTCTATAGTCTGGTGCAGTGGGTGAGTTGTTGTACAGTTGTAGGGAGTATTATATGTCCCTCTATAGTCTGGTGCAGTGGGGGAGCAGGAGTGTCCATGATGAAGAGCAGTTTGTCCAGTGTCCTCATGTCCCTCACTGTGACAAATGTCTCCAGCTCACAGATTTTAGCGATTTTACTTACAATATTAGTACTTTCTCATACCTGGATTTGGGCGTTGTTGTTTTAAATTTTAAAAAATCTGTAGCATTATGTTGGTCTGGAATTGAGCGGTGCACAGTTTTCAGACAGACGGTGGGTGGTGTGAATACATTTGCAGAGCCGGAGGAGGAAGTCAAAAGTTTGTCACAAAGTTTTACGTACCTTATATACTCCCCACTGAAAGTGAACATGTTTCGCCAATATAATAATCAGTGTTGGGCAAGAACCTTCAAAAAATGTATAGTTACCTGTTACTTTCCCCAAAGTAACTGTGTTAGAGATTGTGTTACTGGGTGATGACCAGATTAAACAACCCTCAAAAATACCCCCCAGTTGCTTAAATGAATAAGCTCTATTCAGTCTTCTGTCCATCCATCCATTTCTTCTGCTTATCCGTCATCCATCAGTCTTATGTGTTCTACAAATCACCAAATGCACCGAGAGCCGTCATTATAGGATATTCTCCTCTACAGACATCAAAATCACCAACACGTACAGGCAGAACTGCGCTGGGCAAACAGCTGTCCCCTTTACTGTAGACGCCAAATAACGATCCATAAAATCCACAAAATCGACACATTTCTTCATGTATGTTAAAAGAAGTATTCAGTCGCTTGTCAGCACGAAACCAAATTAGGAAAGTCTTTACGGCAAAAAAAAAAAAAGGAAGTGATAGGGGTGTAACAATATCCAAGTCTCATGATACGATATTGTCATGGTACGATATTTATTGCAATATTGTGGGAAAGCTGACTATATGGTGGGGAGGCTCACAATTAGGGATGTAACAATATCCAAATCTCTTTGTACGATATTTTCATGATATACATCTCACGGCATGATATTTAGTGCAATATTTAGTGAAGGCTAAACAGCTAAAACTGTTCATATGCTACGTTTTTCTCTTAAAATGCCTTGACAAGACTTAATCCAAAAAACTAAGAATTAGAACTGTTATTTCTTCTTGTTTGCACTGAAATGGAGCAAAGGATCATGGTCTATGTAGTTCCCTCTGTCTATTGCTGCACCTTAAAGGCCAATTTACGGTCCAACATCAAATCGTCTGCGTCACAATGCAGAGAGTCTGCGTCGACGCATACCCCTATGCAGAGCCTCTGCGTCGACCGACGTGCACCTCTGAAATTTTCTAACTACGCGTCAAAACGCCGCAGACAGCAGAGGAAGCGACACAGACGATAAGAGCTGTGATTGGTCCTCCCGACCACCGCTCTGTAGACATTTCCTGTCAGCTTTTCTTTCTTTCAGTATATATTGAAAAATAATGTGTTTAATGCAGTTTTGCGCATATGTGTTTACGTTTTACAGAAACAAAACTTAAAACCGCATGGCTAACTTACATAAATAAAGCGCTCATAAAACAGCTCGCTCCTGGTACAGGGTCAGCTTCTGTCGGACTTAAAAAGGACAAGACTCAGTGTGTCTTTCTGTGACAGAGTCACATTGTACTAATGTTGAGTCTGTTCTGTGCTTTTATCGTGTTAGAGATGGTTCATGTTAAACTTTTCAGAGATTATATGTCTGCGGGTCGTACACACAGACCGTATATATATGAATGCACAGATATCATCGCCCCCTAGCGTTTTGGCAGTGAATTACTTCGCAGTGCATACACCTTGACACAGATCCATAAATCAAAAACGACGACAACAAGGCGATGGCGGCAGTGCACGTTGAGTTGAAGCAGAACTATTCTTCACCCTTAACTCTTTATTTAAGCAAAGAGACTTGTAATTCAATATATTGTGATGGTCCACGATATTATTGTGAGAACTTTGACGATACGATATCACGATATTTCAGTTATTGTTACATCCCTAGAAAGTGACATAGTGCACCTTTTACAGATGCACTAATTTTGAATATTCTCCATGGAGCTGGAGATCGTTTTATGCCATACTGTGGAAGATTAAACCCAAAGACACAACATTTCCATGGAAACGAGCTGGATGCAGCCCTCCTCCAGGCTAAATACAAGTCAGGTTTGTGGAGATACAAGCTTACTCACAGGAGCAAGAAAGGACGTATGTTTTCCATTGTTTTTCAGTGCAATAATCTGTGTTTAGTCTATGTTTTGGCTAAGAAGTTACATACTGTGGCTTTAAGTTGTTTCAATTTTACCTTGAGTCTGTCGTATGAGATGTAGCACGTGCTCTGACATTATGTAAAAATTCATTGTGTTCTGTGTGGTTGTAATATCACTCTCAGACACCAGGGGGAGCTGTTGTCTGTGACTATCCTGGCCTGTATTCACTTCTATAATGTTGTCTAATAGCAAACATTATGGTAAACCAAACTTTTATACATTTCATTAGATATGAAATGATGTAAAAATTCTAACAATGTGCACGGAGCCGAATCCTCGGGTTTGTCATATTGTGCTGAGTTAATATCATTTTGGAGTTTGGTTGAGAAGAATGTGGAACTTAACAAGCATCAAAAGCCATCTGTTGTTTTTGCCAGAGCCAGATGAGCGGCATCATTGAAATTTTACGTTCAGAGTCTATTAAAAAGTGCTTTATCGCCACAATCAGAGTTTACAAATGAGGGACGTGCACATTTTCCTTACCTGCTTTTACATGACGATGGTTACAGTGCGCTGGCCCTTACTCGCTAATACACAGCCACATCAGCCATATGTCTTTTGGATTATGCTCCTCATCAGCGTCATCATCATTAGCATTTAAACGCCCTTTGGTTCCTGTTCGGGGTTGGGCGTGTTTGGGATGACTCTCCAGGCTCATCTGCTCCTCACCAGCTCCTCACTCCTTTGGACTGGTCATCGTCCCTCAGTCTCATAGTTTTAAGGACACAGATTATGCAGAATTGTCTTTTTTTGAACTTTTAACCATGTCCCTGTGTAAAACATATCTGGAGTTGTATTTCACATCATTCACACAGGTTTCAGTGATCCTCTTTAAAAACATTATCAGATCGTGTTCATTACTGTGGTGTGCTTGTATTAACATGTCCAGACATGCACCTCATTACTTAGTTTAATTGTTTTCCCAAATCAGTTGTTTAAGATCAATATTGAGATGCACACTGAACAAATTGTGAAAACATATCGTACTATGTTGGTTAATTCTTTTACTCTTGGTAATTTCCGTCAGACTAATGTTTCTCTGTGTGAGGTGAGAACCACTTCATATTTGGCACCACATGCAGCACTATTACATCCTGATTTGTAATCCACTGGCACCAACAAACTCTAATTACTCTTATAGTGGTCGTTTCCATGGGGCAGACTCACTGGAGTTTTAACTCTCGTTACTAGAACTTGGCAACACATTTCAGAACTGCAGTGAATGTTCTAAAAACATGTTCAACTATAGTGTGTACAGTACCGTGAGTACTGGAGAGTACAGTGAGTACTGGAGTGTACAGTGAGTACTGGAGTGTACAGGAGTGCACAGTAGAGAGTACATGTTAGACTATAGTGTACAGTACAGAGTACATGTGTACAGTGCAGTAGAGTAGGGTACAGTATAGAGTACATGTGTACAGTGCAGTAGAGTAGGGTACAGTATAGAGTACATGTTAGACTATAGTGTACAGTACATGTGTACAGTACAGAACAGTGCAGTAGAAGAGTGAGAGCACCTCTGCAGTCCTCTCTCCAGTGGATTAAAGACAGATGCTGAGTCAGATCATCGCAGCGTTTTCTCTTGTTTAGTGTCCACTCTTCACTGTGATGCACATGATATTACCAGCTCAGCAGTGGAACAGAAACATGGTTCAGTCTTAAAGTACTAAAGACGAGGAAGTACAGCCACTGTCCAGAGCCTGGCTCTCCAGAACCTTTATCTAACCATCTTATCTATCTATGTCTACCTCTGAGGATGACAGATCCATGAACCTCATCTGTCCACATGTTTATGGACCTTCTCCCACCTCTCCCACTCCCACACTCTGCATGTCTTTACCTGTTTAGTGAAATCATAATTACCTACAAAAAGCACGGCCCTGTGTCTTTCTAAAGATTTTAAGTTTACATGATTTTTTAGTTTGTCTGGCACAGCTCTTATCCACAGTGTCATAGATTATACTCTACAGCAGACAATATTTCTTCTTTAATCAGGAAATAGATGCTGTTTTCAGTCTCTGTCTATATCAGACATAACTGATACTACTGCAAAGTATTATGATCACTATCAGAACTGAAAAAGTCTGATTGCTGCATACTTTTAGACACTTTATCACCTGCCTCTACCCAGCACATCATTTATATATTTTTTAGCTTTGTGTTCTTTGTGTGTAATCTTTGTTGTGTCATGTTGTAGCTCTTGAATTGCTCTGCTTTCCAAAGTGCCCTAGCATGTGTTAAGTGCTTTGTATTGTGCTCTCATCTCCCCCATAATTCTCCCACAGAGGCAGATAAAACCACTCTTCCTCCATGCGGTGTTCTCCTTTTATACTGACAGTGTTATTGATCCATGTGTGCTAACTGTGCTCTGCTCTGCCCCCTGCAGGAGCCCCGAGGATCTGTTCAGGGAGGTGATGCAGATCCAGCAGAGGGAGATCACACTCAAAGAACAGAACTACACGCTCAACAGCCGGTAACTGCTCTGCTCCGTCTTATCTTATACATAACTTTATAAAAACCACTACCAGTGTAATATGTGTTTATTATAGAATACATCTGTTAGTTTTGTGAAGTATAAAGGTCAGGATTGTGGCGTCATAGGAAACTGGAGATGTTATTATCCCAAGTTGTTATAAAGTTCAAGAGAGAGTATGAAAGATTAAAATTTTAAATGTCATAAATTGTCAAATCAAATACACGACTTGATTTATTACTAATTGCATAAAACATTTTACACAATTATCCAATCAGAAAGCAGAATAGACTAGGGATGGGCATTTGATGACATTTTTTTAATCGATCGTCGGGAGAATTAATGGTTGATTTTCGATGAATCATTAACAGTTTTATATTAAAATTATCATCATTATTATTATTACTATCTGCACTACTAATCTGCATAAATAAATTCAACTTCAATAAACTCAACATAAATAAACTCAACCATATCACTCTAGAGTCAAAAAATGTGACTTGGAGCTCAGACTTTGGAAGAAGGCTTTTTTTTGGTGGAAGGTCGTCCCGTTTTTTCTTTGCCTGGAATATTCCACTGTATGAAATTAAACACATCTATCAAGCATTTATTCTTTACAGGTGTTTCTATTGCTCAAAAATACAATAATTCTCTCTGTGAATAGGAGCGCCTCTCCATAGATCTGATCTGTAATGTAGCCTATAGTTGTCTCCCTTAAACTAGATCTTTAATCTCTAACGTGGAACAAAAAAAACATCAGGTGACAGACCCGCCACCAGAAAAGTTGCGCAACGCATCTTTAATCCAAAATAAAACTGATTTGATGAATTTGTGGGAGAAAATTGTGCACAGGACAAGATAGAGAATGTTTTCGGTTAAGACTATTATCATTGATTTAAAAAAAAAAAAAAAATCACAAATTGTTTATTCTTTTTAGCCATTTAGTTTTAATAATGCTGCTTTTATTTGTGATTAAAAGCGTAAATTGCCTTGTGTTTAAGGGTCTATTTCATTCAAATGACGATTATTAAAGTAGTCAGTGATTATATGAGTAAATTAAGTAAATTAATTACAACTATTCATATTTATTGTTACAGCGCTAAATAATACTACAACTTTTTCTCTGTGGTGGAAAAAAACAAAAACAAGTTAAAGGTGCTGTACCTGATTTTTACTGTTTAAAAAAAAATAATAATAAAAAAAAGCAGTGGTCCAATGTTATTCGCCACTTACCTTATGCACTCAGAGCATCCTCATTATTCACCACGATGAGTTTATAAGTGCTTTTCACAACTATCTGAGACCAGAGCAAAGATTTGGCATCATGGCTAACAACTGGCATGCCATGCTTTAGGACTATAAGTCACTCCAGCCAAAAAATGCGTAATGAAGAAGGAAAAAACATATATACGTAAGTTGCACTTTTTTGGGGGAAATTTATTTTATAACATTAGAAACCAGGAACCGACATTTCCTGTGTCAAGTCTAGTTGTAGTAAAAACAATAGAAGAGAGAAGAACAGACTGTTAACGTCACATATGAACAGTTCTTCAGATAAACTATAACATAAACAACAGAACAGAACAAGTTTACCAAACTCTCCATCTCACTCCAAATCACTAAATCCATTCAATTCTTCATCCTCGGTGTCACTTCTGAACAACTCGACCTCCGGAGGTAAACAGAGCGCCGCAAACTCTTCTGTGTCGCTGTCGTCAGACTCAGCATCAGTTCCAGTTAGAATTATTCGGGTCTTTCTGAATCCCGACAGGATGGTTTCAGTGTCACTGAAGTCCAGACTTTGTCCATCCATCCAGTGACTTCAGGAAAGTTTCATGGTGCATCCTACTGGGGTCACAAGTTTCTCTCTCACTCCAAACGTTTTCTGCTGCTCGATTATCATTTTCAGCTGCAGATTTCAAGACTTGCAGTTTGTAATCTGCAGAATCTGATTTTGTTTTTGGGGGCATTTGTGTTCAGTCTTCTCAGTGTCTTTATAAGTTTACTTAAATGTTACATTTTCAGTGGTGCAGAAGTAATGGTGCGATCGACTGACATGATACAGACAGAAGAGAGGCTCTTTCTGCAGGAGACATGTGCAGTAGAGTGAAGTGACAGTGGTACAGGAGGAACAGGAGCAGCACATACTCACACACAAGACTAGAACCTCTCACCGCTCCACTGTGAAACTTATAATATATAAATCACACCTGAGTATATGTCGCAGTAAACACCCAAACCATGAAAAAAAATAGTTCCTTATAATACATATACATATAATACAGTATGACAAAACAGGGTCTTTAATTCACGCTGAGAGAAAAGAGACTGAAGTTTTTGTCTGTTTTTGTCTCATGTGGATATGCCTAGAAATAACAGAGAGATTGCATTCTACAGTTTGAAATAGTCCATTTTCCAGCTCCACACTTTTTGACTTCTATAACATCACCTGAGTGCGTTCTATTGAGTTTGTGGGGGCTTGTGTTGCAGACAGAAGATTGAAGACTTGGAGGCGGAGAGACAGCGCTTGGAGCAGCAAAACGGAGAGCTGGAGATGAGACTGGAGAAGAACACTCTACAGGTGGGTTAGCCGAGCAGACAGACCCCCTCCTCCTCTTCTTCTTCTTCCTCCTCCCTCTCCTCTCCCACCTCCTCCTCTTCCTCTTCCTCTTCCTCCGCTGGGGCTGATGGATCTCCGCGTCCTCCACAAAAAGGAAACAATTTGATAACCCCGCGAGCGCTGGGACGGCACCCATTCACTCACACAGACCTGTCCTCTAACCCAAACGCTACACAAGCACCCAGCTGGCACGTCAACAAAGTCCTGTGGGAAAAAGATGTTCTGACGCTATACATGTGTTAAAAAGAGCTTTAATGTGTTCAGTGTTTCCTGCTGTGTTGTTTTAGAATTCATGGTGAATTAATGAAGAACTGTCCAATTAGTCACTGGATTTAAGATTTTAAAGAGGGGGTAGAATCCGTGTGTCATTTGTTAATACATTTTTCAAAATAAAAACAAAAATAAGAAAACAAAAAAACTAAACTAGTTTCTTCATTTGTCTCCAAAACCAAAATGAAAAAAATGGGTAATGATTTGTTTTTTTCAGTTTTCGATTTTGTGTTTAAATGAAGAATGAAAAAAACGGATCACAGCCGTTTCCCGTTTCCGTGACTTAAACTGTGATGCCGGATTAAAACAGGACTAAACCAGGACTGAATCAGGACTGAATCAGGACTGAACCAGGACTGAATCAGGACTGAACCAGGACTAAACCAGGACTAAACCAGGACTGAATCAGGACTGAACCAGGACTGAACCAGGACTAAAACAGGACTAAAACAGGACTGAACCAGGACTAAAACAGGACTGAACCAGGACTGAACCAGGACTAAAACAGGACTGAATCAGGACTGAACCAGGACTAAAACAGGACTGAACCAGGACTAAACCAGGACTAAACCAGGACTAAACCAGGACTGAATCAGGACTGAACCAGGACTGAACCAGGACTAAAACAGGACTGAACCAGGACTGAACCAGGACTAAAACAGGACTGAAACAGGACTGAACCAGGACTAAAAGAGGACTGAACCAGGACTGAACCAGGACTAAAACAGGACTAATCTTGGACTTAAGAGTGAGAGAGAACTTCGAGCAGGGTGTCCACAAAGCTTGATCATGTGTCAGCTGCTCTTAGCCGGGTGTGGAGCTCTGCGCAGGTCCTGTGGTCACCCAACAGTCTACATGGGCGCACCTCCGGACCCGTCCCGACACTCAGTCCTGGTTCAGTCCTGGTTCAGTCCTGGTTCAGTCCTGGTTCAGTCCTGGTTCAGTCCTGGTTCAGTCCTTACACGGCGCAAAAGTCCAGCATCAGAGTTTAAGTCATGGAAACAGGAAACAACCATTATCTGTGTTTTTCCATTATTCATTTAAACACAAAATCGAAAACTGAAAAAAAAATAATAGTTATCTGTTTTGTCATTTTGGTTTTGGAGACAAATAATGAAGTTTTTTTCTTATTTTTGGTTTCATTTTGAAAAACGAATGATACACAGATTGAGTATTTTACTTCTTCTTTGGGTTATTAAATGAAAACATAATATATTTAGGTCACCATGTTACCTCTTATTGTTTTAAAAAAAATGCTATATACTCTCCAAAAACAAAGTATTAACGTGTTTATAAGTTTCAATTTCATCCTCCCTCCCTTTGCTCACTGCACTAAGTCATTCCCCCTTCAGAGCGCTATCACAGCACAAACAGCGTGCATCCCGCTAATGAAACTATGGCATCAGGTTTGCACTACATTGCATCAGGTTTGTGAAGTTGTGGTGTATTGTTTTGTATCATGCTTTTGTAGATTTATGGAGGAGTGTCGTGTGGGAGCAGCTAACCTGAAGAAGGTTCTGAATAGGGTTCAAACTTGCATGCATGACACATAAGACCTCTTCAGGCATGTTTTTGATAAAGGAGGAACATTTAAACATGGTAGAAAGCTAAAACAAAAGTGGATTTTCCATAATACCCCCTCTTTAATATACTGTGATTGCAATTAGTTTTGCTAAAGATTGTGAGTGTGCATTGTAAACAACTCCAGGAGCATTAAGAGAGATGCAAAGTTGAACTAAGAATTAAAGATTAAAAAGAAATTAAAGATTAACTAAGAATCCCTTGTGTCCCTTGTAATGGTCACATTTTTATACAGCATTTTTCCACCTTCAGGGCACTCAAAGCACTTTACAACAAGGAACCACTTCACAAATTAACATACAAACACCAGTGTACGCAGACACTAGGGGCGAGGTGGATTGCCGTATTTTCCGGGCTATAGGTTGCGCTCTTGAGCCTCCAAACCCATCAGAAAACGACCGCGCGCCCTGCAATCCAGAGCGCCCTATACATGAATCCACTCGGGATTCATGTATAGGGCGCTCCACGCGTTCAGTAAACTGCAAAGCCGCACCACCCGCCAACACACACGGAGCAGACAGCGACCGCT